CAGATACAGCAGCTGGTGTGATGATACAATGTCCAGCACTAAGATGCAGAAGCTGTCCTTTTGTTACTCTTTCCATTTGCTCTACTTTTTCTTAAGTTGTCATGTAGTATTTTTCTTTCTCTGTTTTTCTCTTTCTATCTGACCCCCCCTTTTTTTTCTTCTTCTTCTTTCTTCTGTCTCTCTTCTCTTTCTCTCTTTTTCCCTCTACTCTTTCTCTCCCTCCTCTCTTCCTCTCTTTATCTCTCCTATCTCAGTTAACTTTCCCTGTCGGCCCCGGCTTAATGCCGCAATAATCTAAAACGGCGAATAAAGAGTATGTCTCAAGTAACGAGAGGAGCTTAATCCGAAGCTCCACTTGGCAAAATAAAAGTGTTGTCACAATAAAGCACCCAGACTAACATCCTGCTTGCTAAACTGCCGAACACGACAGGGGTTAAAAAAAGAAAAGCCCCAGAGTGGTGGCTGCCTGCGTGAGGATGTGACGTCTGATGTGGTGGTCTGATGTGGTGGTCTGATGTGGTGGTCTGATGTGGTGGTCTACAGCAGTGTTTCTTAAACTGGTCTTCAGGGACCTCCAGACAATCTGCATTTTTGTTCCCTTCCAGCTCTCTCCCCTGCCCCCGAGGGCTGGGTTGAGAAACACTGGTCTACAGTACCACCCGGTTGATTAAACAAGCTATCCACCCCACAGATGGGGGGGGGGGGGGTCCTGTTTCTGTTTCCCATTGCCCGTCTCTCTCGGCTCGGCCACAGCGATGGATCTCAAATTGCCTCCCGTCGGGTCGGCTGCCTGTCACTCGACTGCTGATGGAGGTGACGTGTTGTTAAAGCTCCACCTGACGTGGTGGCCTCCAGTCAGGGTTGGGGGGGGCATCTCAGCTTTTCGACTGCCATGAAAAGTGAAGGGATCAAAGAGCGCCCCCCCCCCCCTCCACCCAACTTCTTATAGTGTCCTGTAAAACTTTGCAGTAAGAAATGAAAATCTGACGAAAGAACCGACCCCGAAGCCAGCAGTGATTACCTGAACACACAAGTCGTCCTGCCCTCCCCCTCGGAATGCTGCATGTAGTATGGCACTTATGGCACTACAGCAGAACACTGCTATTAACTAGACAGGCTTCTAAAAGCCCACTGAGGCTGCCTTTCATTGGATGAGTGGAATCCTAGCCCAACCAATCAAGATCACTGCTAATTATTAAGAATGACGGCCGAAAGAGAAAACGTGAACATTCTGTAGGCTGAGACTTATTACCAGCGAGAGGTGAATCACAAAGGAGGAAGTCCACCCAGATATCACCCTCTTCATGGTACGCCTTGAGTTTATTTCAGCCTCTCTTGTGTCCTCTTTCGAGCCAGGAACAACAATGATATTTTCATGCTATTTTTTTCCCCAAGTCAGACTATTTTGGATTGCAGTTCCAATCAGACCCAACCATTTGCATGTTAAGTTTAAGGGTCTTATTTTGTCACCCCAGACTTTAAGTACTCTTTGAGCTGCAGTTGTCTGTGATCAAACCAACAAACTGAAATATACTCTTTAATTACTCTGTGAAGTATTACTCTGGCGGGAAACTGACCCAATATAAGGCAACTGCAAAATCTGCTGACAGAACTAATAACCAATGAACTGTAGGGAACCGTCCACTGGTCCAGTGATGGAATACAATTGGACAGCCGAAGGCTTGGAATGCGTGTAGGTCCTTCCGAGCGCTCCTGTAAAGTTACTTACCCTTTTATGTAAAACCAAATTTCTGACTCCAAGTTAATTAAAGACCTTTTATGATGTTTTAGTATTTCTGTTATTCTGTGATTCATATTCTGTTATTTCTGTTAAACTCCCGGGTTTTCCTTTCTATTGCTGAACTCCCATTAATCCCGGACGGTGGAGTACACTGGATTCACCTCGGCCAATTGGGCGATCCTCGGATCTGCTACGTAGGACTCTGTTCAGAGGTTGGGAAATCACTAAAACTTAACACAATGTCAGCCTAGATGGCCGTTCGGGCCCGACGACTCCTACAACTCCTGAGGCTCCGCCGACACTTGCCGTATCTGAGCTGAGCCGGTGTTTGCTGTAACGCAGCGTGTGCTCGCCTCAGAGACTGAGCCGGGGTTTTCCGTGACTCGGCGCATGCTCGCCTCAGAGGCTCAGCCGGGGTTTTCCCGTGACTCGACGTGTGCGCGCCTCAGAGGCTGAGCCGGGGTTTTCCGTCACTCGACGTTTGCGCGCCTCAGAGGCTGAGCCGGGGTTTTCCATCACTCGACGTGTGCGCGCCTCAGAGGCTGAGCCGGGGTTTTCCGTCACTCGGTGCGTGCGCTCCTCAGAGGCTGAGCCGGGGTTTTCCATCACTCAGTGCGTGCGCGCCTCAGAGGCTGAGCCGGGGTTTTCCATCACTCAGTGCGTGCGCGCCTCAGAGGCTGAGCCGGGGTTTTCCGTCACTCGGTGTGTGCGTGCCTCAGAGGCTGAGCCGGGGTTTTCCGTGACTCGGTGCGTGCTCGCCTCAGAGGCTGAGCCGGGGTTTTCCGTGACTCGGTGCGTGCTCGCCTCAGAGGCTGAGCCGGGGTTTTCCGTAACTCAGGGCGTGAGCGCCTCTGAGATTAAGCTGGTATTTCCGTAACGCAGCGTGTGCGTGCCTCAGAGGCTGAGCCGGTGTTAACCGTAACTCAATTTGGGCAGTCACATCGGGTCCCAGAGAAATGGGGTTCAGTCAGAGACTGCAAGAGAGTGTTACATGTAGTGAAGCTAAAATACCCGAGGCAAATGGCTCTGACCGGAAATAAACCAAATCTACAAATCTAATTCTAACATGTGGCCACAAATTCCTAAACTATACCATCAAGTCAAAAACAATACAACAATTACATACCTCAGCTGAGTGGGCATAGAGTAACTGCAGAAAATATCTGATTACAGATGTAGATTCACACAGCACTATGTGGGAGCTCTGATTACAGAGTTTCTCCTTTTGCTACTCTGGAGTTCTTCCTTAAGTTTCCAAACCAAGTGACAGAATGTCTTTAGAGACTAAATTTCCTGAGCAAATATTATGATTGATTATTTTAGGGACTGTTTTGATCTTGTGTGCATGTCCTGGAGAACTGCTGATCTTATCAATTCTCAGACCCTCAGCCAATCGAATTGCTTTAGGAGGAATGTGGGAATTCCTTTGTTCCACCAGGTGACAAGATCCTCCACTTTGGTGGGTTTTGTCTTATTTTCTATATTTCTCTTATAGGATAACATACTGCGTTAAGGTTGAGAGTATTGTGCCCATCGTACTGTGACCATTCAAACATGGGTGTATGTGTCCCTAATGTTACTCTGGGATAATGCCTCCTTTGTTGGTGTGAGTTAGTGAGTGTGGGATGCATCTGTGTCTTGACGCAGCCAGGTCTTGTGACAGGAATTTGGCTGTAGGGTTCTGGCCGCCCAGTGGGGGTGAGGTGTCCCTTTTGATGAGGTGATCGGGTGATTTGGGTCCAGTCTTGTTGGAGCCAGTGGACCTTTGCCTTAGGACATTGGGTGGAACATTGCCGGCTTGTCAGAAGTCAGACCGGTGGGGCCTGCAAGGCCTGTGGCCTTACAGAACTAAGCCAGACGTCTTTCACCAATATTTCCTTTCAGCAGAATTTAAGCACTTTTTTCACTGTTACTCCACAATCAAGGATATGAATTATGCTCCTTTTCCAGGGCCTTTGAATTAAAACCCCCATTTTGGTATTACAGCTAGTGAACAAGAAGAAGAACTATGTGAAGTATGAAGATTATCTAGCTACTCGGTGTATATTGGAGGGGCTTTAAATCTCCCAGCAGCCTTGTCAGTGTGCATAAGCAGGCTATTCCTCAAGTTCATTGCTGTTAGCCGTCATCTGTGCATGAAGAAACCCCATTGGTTGGTGGAGGGATGGGGATGGAGCTAGTTTTTCTGCAAAATGCTCCCCGATCCCTGTCACATCCAAACTTCCACACCGCACACATGACCTCCTGGCCTTCATTGCACCAGTCTGGTACTTTAGCTTTCTGTCAGCACCCTGTGTCACAAATGAAAATCTGTGATTGATATCTTAACAGATGCATACAGTACCTTTCTTTTTGCATTGGAAACCAGGCTTACAGACTGGAATTGTCTGCATTTTCAGTGTCAGACCTGTGCCAGATCCTGCAAGGCTGTTCTGTAGACGAATAGACAGCATTTAACTGCTTCAGGTTGAATAATAGAGCAAGAAATATAGTTTAACAAGAGAAGTTCCAAGAAGTAAAACATATGCTTTATCTTACTGGGTCAGAGAGGACCTCATGGTGCCTGATTTAAAATGTCATGAGGAGAACATGTTGACAGGTCCTTTTAACATATTGAGGGGAATCTTCCAGCTTGGAACATGAAGTTTTGTTTCAGGAAGGTCTGTTACACCAGAAACGGTTACATTATTTTTGGGGTAACCTTTAGGTCGGCTGTTCAAACCCAGGTATGAGGATTCTTCAGCCAATCAGTCCTCTAATCAGTAATCTAAGTAGGTAGTTGCAGTGAAAACCCGCATACACTGCGGCCCTTTCTGGATAAGATAAGCCACTCCTGTTCTAGTAGTAATAAAATGTTTATAATGGCATGATTATGACATGTCATGGTTGGTTATCTCGGTTAAGATCAGGCACATGGGGCTATATCTGTGCACCATGTTAACAGAGATGGAGTTCACAGCTTCAGGGTGGAGAACTGTCACCTTTGAGTTTTTCCAGAATCGTCACCGTGACAAGATATAGAGCCAAATTAACAATGCTTTAGAGGTACAGTCATTTGCTCAGTCAAAAATTCATCTGACCTTACAGCCAGCCAAACATTGCTTAGCCTGTACATGTCTTTGCTTTAACGAAATGAATGCAATAATGATTACTTATTAACTAGCCTTCTCTGAGCTGAACTCATACAATGCTGTTGGCATAAAAGGCAATATTGACTCTTCAGCCAATACTGATTGAACATGAAATCTTTTCTTTTATTTTTACTTCTCATTGTCGGTTTGTTTACTTTTAGTTTCAAGTGAAATCAGTTGTCAGGAAAAAATCCCCGTCATAGTAATCATTAATCTGTAAAATAGAGTGCCAGATAAATACGTAGATGTTCAGTAATGAACAAGCAGACTCTGCAATGGTGTTTCGGGGAGTTTAACTTAATCTTTAACGTTGTATTAAAGCTTAAGGAAGAAGACAGAAATGGCACTTCACCTTCTTGGAGTTTTTTGCCTGCTCCTCCACACGTCTGTCGGAATAGCAGCCAAGAGTAAGTACAACTACATTCAAAATGTGAAATGGGTTAAAAACATGTTTCATGATCACTTAAGTCTGTATGTTTAACTAAAAAAAAAAAGATTAAAATTTCTAACAGATCAATTTGTGTTCACTTGCCAACAATAGTAGGGGAGACCGTGGACAGTTTTTGAACTTTTTCATTTTCGTTTCTATAACGCAGAAAAATGACAATGAAATAATTGTTTTCCTTTCAAAGTAGAGTACTTGCTAAACATCCATGGTGTTTTGGGAGTCTGACTTATGCAGGAGGAATCCTGTATCCCTTCGAACAACTGAGCTTGTTCAGCAGTTGTCTCTAGTCTCTCCTATATATCTGTAAGATTTTGTATCGGTATGTAAATGTCTTGTTGTCAGTCTCACTTTTTGATGCATCTACTCATACTAGTTCATTTCAATTAAAATGAGATGCACAGTGATAAACAATGGTGAACAAAAACAGAGAGATACTATTCCCATGTCAAGCCAAAAAGCCAGTGCTTGTACTAATGCTGTTTCTCCATTCTTCATGTAGGTCTGGTGGATCTAGAGACAGCCTCGACCCTGCTGATACCATGCTACACCAGGGTGGCACTGCACTGCAACATTTCCTCGCAGGCGGAACTCTCTGTCAATAAGCTGGCTTGGATTGACGTGGCCAGCCAGACGGAGCTGTGTGTCGTCAACATGAATAATCTGAGTTCCTCTGGGAACCACAGCATGAAATGCGAGTACATTCCCCAGAAAAGGCTCACGCTGACTTTCAGACACGTTCATCCGGAGCATCAGCGAACGTACAAGTGTAGCCTGAAGTCCAATCGAGGAATCAAACAGGCCACCACCAAAGTTAAGCTACAAGGTGATTTCTTGAGTTCATCAACGTCCCTACAGGATGAGTGGAACCTTAGCTGTAGATGTTTTCCAGTTGTTTCATTGGTAGCATATGAATCTGAAATCCATCCATACAGTATCTTATCCAGTACAGCTTGCTTTAAGGGCAGGAGCATAAGGCAAAAGGCAGGGAATCACCTTAGATCGGATGGCGGTCTATTACATGGTGCTGAAATGACTTATTCATTTCATAAGCAGTATCGGTGGGGTTAGGTGTTGTGCAGTACTGAAATTACACAAAAACGTACTAATCGTGAGTGCCCTGTGTAAGTAGGCTAGCTCTGTAACCATGTCATGCAACATATACTATTTCTTACTGTCTGGTTTCACTTCTTTGCCTCCAGATTGCTACAGAAACAAATACCTCAACTTATCTGCGTCGTGGGCCACATGCCATTTCTCTGGTGTTTATCCCGAGGGGGAGGTGCACTGGTTCCATGGCGACAGGAATGTGACGGAGCACTCGGACAGGCATACGACTAGGCGTAACCACGACGGGACTTTCAACGTGTCCAGCAGCCTGCACACAGAGCATTCGTCGAGTGAATGCTCCTTGTGGATCCCCAGCTCTAAGGCTTACCTGGTGAGGCAACCAATAACTAAGCTGAATTCACTCAGTTACAGGTCTGACAGCAGAGCTGTAGCTGCCCACACCTTCAGCCTAGGGTTTGGGTTAATGCTGACCAGGCTCCTTGTGCCATAGTCCTGCCAGGCACACGCCAGGGACGCTCCTCTCTAGCTACCTCATGTGAGGAAACACGAACAATGAAAAATTAACTAAACTTGCTGACCAGAAGCCGGTGGTTTGAAAGGCATTTCCTCTGTCTTTCTTCGTGTTTTCTGTCATATTGCTGTTTAAAATTGTGAATTGAGTTGTTGGATTTGTTTTTTTTTGTTCATAGATTTTTTTTTAAATGAAGTCCCGTGTGTAATTACTGTACAGACAATAAGAAGTTATCTCAATGGACTTTGTCACCTGTAAAATAATGCTGCTGGTGTGTGGGTGTAGTGCAGACGTGGTTAGCGCCAAACAGCCAGCTTAACAACTGCTGTATATGTCTTCCAGTCATTCTTCAGGAAAAAACAGTAATGTAAATGCAACATTTATTTTCTTTAATGCCATCTTTTCACTATTGTGATCATATGTAGCATACTGTAATTAAGCTAGCACCTTCAATAACAATGATCTCTGTATGTGTATATCTGCACCTAGTGGTCAGGATTTTATCATATATCAACAATTAAAACATATTTAGTTGTAGCCTGTTCTTTTAAACAGAATATCACACCACTAATAGAATGAGAGGACTGGAACACTTACTTTAACGTGCTTTATTCAAAACTAAGACTAACGATTTAAGGGAATTCAGTCCCAGCAACTGCAAGTCACTACTTTTCAGCAGTTTACTGGTGTTTATGGGAAACACAAGACTAATTAGGAAACCACCAAAGTAAAGAGAATAGGGTGTCTGTGATGTTGGGGGCATCAGAAACTAAGTGAAAGACACTTTACTTGCAGTACTAAGAAGAGGCGTAACTCTCAGCCAGTCTGTTGTTTCGCAGGAAGCGGGTGATGATTCTGAAGGGGAAATAAATTACATTATTATTTTTAAACGGCTCGGAGGGAATCAGAGTCGAATGTTATGATTGTCAGTGTACTGAAGCCTTCCTGGATACGATTATCTGAATGCTGGAACAGGAAACTGGACACCATTCAACATATTGTCTTCTTAAAACATTGTCCACGATTGGGAGGCTGTTGTGAGTGAGCCGTACATGGAGGTGCTGATCGGTGTGAATGCTTCTGCATAAACAATGGTGCTCACAGCGGAGCAAACATCTCGCCTTTTCCTTACTAATCCATCTCACGCCAAGGTGAGACATCCCCCAGTGAGAGAACCTGCATCCTGACACGTCCCTACAGCTGGCCTGGGCGCTTCCCCTTGCAAGGAGCCATGAAGTGTCCCTGGGGTCAGGTGACAGGGGAAGATTGGGGAGTTCCCCCTTACCTAGCCAGGGTCAAAATCATGGCAAATTCTTATGGACATTTTGAGCTGGTGGGAGTTTTTCTTACGCAATAATGTTCTGAGGGGAGAACAGGAAAAATGATTGGTTCAGAGAGACAACCAATCAGATTTTAAAGGAGGTGGGGCCAAGCACTTGGAGGAGGCGGGACCAAGACATCTGATTGGTTGGTCTCACCTCCTCTACAATATTATTGGTTATCTCTCTGAACCAAGCATTTTTCATCCTGCCCCCAGAACATTTCTGTGTAAGCACATTTTCATCAAAACACAATTTTTACCACGGACATGGCGGTTATAAACATAGCTTACATAGTTTTTTCTCAATCAAAAAAATTTCCACGGACTCAGACGAATCTTGCCATGTACACAATTGTGCGTGTATGGCGAGCCCTGGCGAGGACCAAAGCGCGCAATCCCGCTTCCCCGGTACTCCTGCTGAACTTCCTCATTTAGTGAGGAATGCATCTTCCGTAATATGTTTTATATGGTATTAAAAAAAGCCAGACTCAAAAGCATGCCTCCCGCAGACCGAGAGGTCGAAATTGGCAGTGAGAGCCGGAGGGAACAGTGGAGTGTAAGAAAACTGTTCATTTACTGCAGTGTAATGAGCAACGAATAGGAGACTTTAGAATGAATTAACACTCTGTTTACCGTAGGAGAATATCCAAGGGGTGTGCGTGATTGGGAAATCTTTTAGAAAAGCACAAAAAATACAGGCTGAATTTACTTACCTGGTAATACAATCCTTAACGTCTGAAAACCCATCTATAGCTCGATTATGCATTTCGGGTTCGGTATACATTTCTGTGTAAACAGCGAAAAGACCCATTCCGGGCGTCATGATCCTGAGTCAATTCCGTCAACCACTATGCTCCCTAGACACAGTAAGTTCACGCTGCGCCTTCAGTGTGGAGGTGAGTGTGGGTGACCGCTTGAGATGTGCTCATTTTTAGAAAACAGAAACCGTACCCCGTACTAGTCAGTTCAACAAACTAATTTAAAAATTAACAATCTAGACTCCCTTGTAAAAAAAAACTGAATGCATTTCAAAAAAAAAATTGACTGCTGTTTAATGCCGTCATGGTCTCTAGCTGATGCAAATTTGATAAAATACTGCCCTCTACTGCAGGAAAAGCGGGTGACGGCTGCTCGTTCCTTCAGAAGAAAATGGAAATGTTACGGCTGGTGCTATACGTCATGGGACATTCGGGAGGTATTAGAATTAGGTGATCAGTGGTCATTGTTAACACACCACACAGTGCGCAACAACAAAATGTGTCCTCTGCATTTAACCCATATGTGACTTTCGTGACATTCAGGGGGCAGCTAATTCAGCACCCGGGGACGGTACCTTGCTCAGGGTACATCAGTGGTACCTTGCTGGTCGGGGATTCGAACCTGCATTCTTTCGATTACAAGTGCGCTTCCCTAACCATGAAGCCACCACTGCCCACAGTAGCGGCTTCATATATATATATATATATATATATATATATATATATATAATATAATATTTGATAATATAATTATATTATTGATTCTGCGTATGCCATTTGAAAATACAAATCTATCATTTAAAATTTACATCTATATTCCTGTTCTAGTGTTCTCATACATTTGGTTTTAATAATTAAATTCCTTTTAAGTTGCAACAGCATGTTCTAAACTGGAAAAACCCCACAACCGGTTCTCGCCTGCACCACAAGGGGGAATATAAAGCACATCGTTCACCTCATGACACCTTTCATAGCCCAAGCCTTCATATCTCCATCGCCGCCTAGTATGACAAGAAAGAAGCATAAGTGATGAAAAAGCAGTTAGCCGGTTTAAGGCGCTGCACCGCCTTTATTCAGCGCATGACTACGTTTTGTTTGAGTTGCACAAATTCTCCAACAACCCATTTGGTTTGATTCATGGAATTCATGATTCGAGGAGTCGCGGGCGAATACCGTAAGTGGCGTGTGGAAATGGAGAAAGTGGGGCGAGCGGAGAAAGGGGAGAAAGGGCGCCGTTAACCGGCGTGCATGTTACACGGTGTGGCTGACGCTCTGGTCTGCGCCAGGAGAAACGAAGCGCTGCAGACGCGCGTTAAAATCGGAGCGGGGGATGTGAGATTAAGCGAAGCGGATGACGGGCGGATTCTGCGCGGGTACCTTGTGTTTCTTTTACAGAAGTCAGTCTTGGGGAACCTTTGCTCAGGCCAAAGAAGAGGCATTACTTTCGATGGGAATGCACGCTCGCTTCATCAAAAACGCACGACAGCTTCAGGGACCATTAACCCCAAAGGTCCAAGAAATATAGCGAGCTGTCTGCCTGAGGCAATTGTTGCCACCTTCACACGGCTGCAACAGGGGACCGCAAGAATATGCGTAAATGATGTAAGGGAGCGTTTTATTGACTGGCTGGCACTTTTCCCACCGTTAAGACACTTACAATATTACCAATTTTTACAATCCAGCCAGGTGTGGTTCAAAGGTGCAGGGATGAAATTCATAGAGCTCTCAATGACTGTGAGAAGTGGGTGGGGTGTATTATGCTTTTCCCAGAGAGGGATGGCATATGTTCAGGGTGCAATAACCGTCTATAGCCAGCGAGTGCAGAATGCCACGTCTAACACAGATAACGGGGATGGAAAAAACACTAAGCATGGATGGTGAACTGCAAAACCCGGGGGCATAACTTTTTGAGCCTGATTTAAAATGCTGCGATGAAAAATAAATACTTACAAATAATTTAATTCAAACTTATAAAATTTTATTAATAAGAGCCTGAATTATATCCCTGTTTTTGTTTTTTTTTTAATAAGAATGTGATTTTTAGGCGAAGCAAACGATATTGGTTACTCACTGCTGATGTCGATACCTACCAGTCAGCTCATTTTATACCTACATTTACATCACTAGGTAAATCTCAACATGCATCATGAGGCAAAAGAAGTGAGGTAAGCAGGGTCGACTGTTTAGAAAAAAAAAATTGGTAGATGGTTGTATCCGAGTTCCTTAAACACAAACAGACAAGTGGACATGACCCTATATACCCCCCATACCCCCTCATGCATACAGCATAAGCCAAATCACAGAAAGCACAGGCGATTCTATGGACTCTGGGGGCCATGGGCAAAAAGCTCCATGGTGCCCCCCAACTCCCCCCCCCCCCCCCTTCAACATGGTAACATGTATTACCTTTATTTTACTGTGAAGTGTAAATTAATAATATCAACAAAGAGAATTTAATAAGCTTAAGACCTTGATTTTCAGAAAGAATACACAAATATTGCAGATTTGTCGTTGCAATATGCTATGTAATCGGCTGCCCTCGGGGGCCCCCTCCCAGCTCAGGGCCCCCTCCCAGTATTGCCTGCCCTGCTGGTCCTGTCGCTGCACCCCTGATAGAAAGCACATCCCTTGCATGACTAATAATACATGTGCAATTTTACTGTACATCTAATGGCATCAGATGAGCCTTGTAGATACAGCACATGACAAAATGACAGAGGGTCATTGAGCAGTAGAGTATCATTTACCAGGTTTCTCGGGGTTTCTCCTGTACCGTGAGAAAGTAGAAAGCTATTTGACCAATGTCACTGATGTATATTTGCATTATATTTAGGTGCAAGTTATCGCAGCCATTTAATTTCTTCAACTTTCATATGAATAATTTAATAACTCTCAGGCTAATTGTAAATATAGTGTGAAACTGTAATATTCTGGAATGTGCGGCCAGAAGATTAGGCAAGACGTTACTTACCAGCAGGAAGGACTAATGAGATTTATGGTTTAAATTTGTCAAGGGGGCTTTTTCTCTACTTGGAACGCAACACTAATTGCAAGGTGACGGAGACAATCAGCACTCATAAAACATAATAATCACTAGGCCTATACATCAAAGCGCAGCCATGTTGTCAGTTTTCTCCAAATTTATAACGAATCAGGGGACCCTTCAACCATGTCTGCCGGCCTGTGTGCCAAAGAGAAAACACGACCCTCTTCAGCTTTATCTCATCCACTGCATGTTGCAATCTGTGCTGGAAGCCTATGCAGGAGCACAAGGAAGCCCTTTGCTTTTTAAGTAAGTTACATCATGGTCCGTGTTCATTTGGATCATTTTGTTCAGTCCTCTGTGGATGGGGCTCACTCCATCCGGCATCAGACATACTGCATCAAACAAACAATCTAATTCAAGTCTTGATTGCAAATCTATGAGCATTTGAAACTTTGCCCTTTCATCTGGACAA